TTTAAAAAGCATATAAAAGCAATTTGAAAATATATTTAATTTCCTATTTTATATTTCTTATTCATTATCATTAAAATCATCTGATTATTAATCATTTGTAAAGGCATTATATCTTTCAAACGTTGTTTCATTTTTTAAAATATTAGTGATTTAGATATACAGTAAAATATTTAAAGGTATCCAAAAAAGCAAGCATATAAAAAAACATACAATAAAGCAAACATATCTTAAAGTCATAAAACTTTTTCTTTAAAAAAACTGATTATCGAAACTGTTTTCAGGCTATTTCTTAAATGCCATAATAACTTAAAAGATAATAATACTAATATAAAAAATCAATAAAATCCATAATACGATTAAAAAAAGGATATAATATAAAAGATTTTCACAAGCCACACAATTATCAATCCATGGACAATGATGATCATATACGCGGATACATTTTTAACATATTTCACAATGTCGGGACCTTTAAGGTTTTATTATTTTACATTCGGGGCATACTTAGGAATCTGAAGGGGAGTTTTAATATAATTATTATAAAAAAGAGGTGGTGTTATTTGTTTTGTTTGGATTGAAATTGTTGTTGAAGTTTACTAGAGAACTATTTAAGCTTAGTTCACAGTTTACACTATTATTATGATTATTTTTAAGTTATATATTTTAGTTATTTTACTTTTTTTTTGAAACTTTTATTTAGGAAACATATCCTGGGTCTTTGAAAATCGATAAACTTAAGAAAATTAGATTTAAAGTATTAAGTATTATAACAATTATAGATATAACTAATTAACTTTCTTATTCAAAATAAGGTAAAATAAATAATAAATAATTAACTAACCCTATAATAATAAGAAAAGTAATCAAAAATAATTTATTTTTTTATCTTTTTGTTGGCTTTAATTATTATTATGTATTGAAGCATTTTTAAATAAAACTCAGATCTTATAACATTTTATAAATTAATTTATTTTCATTTGCTAATTATATTGCTGTTTTATTTTCAAAGTCTTTTATAGTCTTATCTGCGCCTCTTAAAAGTAGTTTTTTAACAATACGTGAATTTTCAGCAGTTACTGCTATATGTAAAGGCGTTAATCCTTACTTATATATATATTTTTTTTATACATATATATATTCATACTTCATCTTTATCATTTATATTAACTTTATATGATAATAATAGATTAATACAATTTTCGGATTCCATAAAACATGCCCAATGGATTGGTTAAGCAAATTTATGGTCTTTTTATTCTAATAATTCTTTTTTTAATAATTGTTATTTATTTGGTCTAAAAAATAACAAATTGATAAAGGTTTGTCGTTTTATACTGCTGCATGGATAACTGAAAGTCCATTAAAATTATTTATTTTAATATCTGCTCCGTTTTATATTAAATATTTGATAATTTCGATATCTCCTTTATATGAGGCGTAATGGAGGGAGGTGTAACCTTCTTTATTTTATTTATTTATTAAATATTTAATTTCTGAGTTGGAAACATTAAAGCTTTTAAATTAAGTAATTATTTATTATAAAAAATTGTTTTATTGATTTAAAACTAAATTATGGATTATTGTTAAATTTGTGTTGTATGTAAAATTTAAAAATTAGTCGATTTAATATTGGTTTTGGATTATTAATTATAAAAGATCATTGTATTTTCCTTAAATGATTAGTTTTTTTATTTGTTCTTGTAAATTTTAGTCATTTTATGATTCAGGGGTTTGGGTTGTTTGGCTAGATAAATTTAAATCTTGGTTTTAAATTACTTAATTTGTACAAGAGTTATTTATTTTATTTTAATTTTGAGTTTCCATTCTTATTTTTGTGTTTGTATTTTTTTAAAAAAAAATTATATAAATAAAAAATATTTTTAATATATATATTTTATTTTATTTTTATATTATTTATATTTTCGATAATTTTTTACCCTAATCTTATTTATTTTGTAAATTTATTTTGTAATGTGTGCTTTTAATATTTTATTTTGGTTTTTTAAGAGGTTTTTTTTATTTTTGAAAAACAAAAAAACAAAAATATTCATTCTATTAAAAAGTTATTAAATTAAATATTTAAATATAATTATTTAAAGAAAATAGTTTAAAAAAAATAAAAAAATAAAAAAAATAAAAAACGGATAATATAAAATAAATGGGATGTTGTTAAAGTATGCAAGAGGAAAATAATTAAGATTATTTGCAAAGTTATAATATTAAAAAGTTATTTTAATATCAGAAAATTAATTTTTTATTTATTTAATAATAGATATATATTTATTTTATTTAATAAAAATAATAATAATAAAATAAATAAAGGTTTTGTTCCTAAAGATCTTAATAATTTTAGCTTTAATTCAAGCAGTAAATTTTAATAATAATCGCATTAATCAATAGAATTTAGAAAGTTTGAAGAAATAAAAAATGTAAATTTAAAAATAATAATGAGTATAAACAATATATAATATAATTTTAATTAATTTATTTAAAAACCAAAAAAAAGTAATTAAGAATTAAATAAATATTCGAATAAGAAATTAATATTGAAAATAAAAGTATAATAAAGAAATCAAATGAGGATTTTTTTACAAAATATAGAATAGGAAAGTTTTTAGGTTAAGGTATTTTTTTATTTAAAAAAAAAAAAATTCATTAAAATTTAAAAGAAGTTAATTAAATATAAAATATATTTTAGGTGGATTTGGTATTGTATGTGTAGCAATAAATAGATAAACTAGTTTTAAAAGGGCAGTTAAAATGATAAATAAATAAAGAATTAAAAAAATTGACGAATGGAAATTATTATAAGAATTATAAATTATGTAAGAAATAGACCATCCTAATATATTGAAAGTATTAGAACACTATGAAGATACTTAACATCATTATTTTGTTACAGAGTTAAATATAATAAAAATTAATATATACTAAAATTAATTTATAAAAAAAGATTATTGTATGGAGGTGATTTATTTGATAAAATTGTAGAACATAAAGCTTTTTCTGAACAATAGGCATCTGAATATATGAAATAAATAATATCAGCAGTTTCTTATCTTCATTCATTAAATATTGTACATAGAGATTTAAAACCAGAAAATATATTATTTGCTAAAAAAAATTACATAGATTTTAAAAGTAAATTTAAAAAAATAAAAAACAAAAACAATATTTTTTTTTTTTTGGAATAAATAAATATATACAAAAATATAAATATATATATATATATATTTATATATATATTTATTTATAGATCATTGATTTAGGAAGTTCAAAGAAATTTTCTAAATTAGAAAAAATATAAGATTATGTAGGAACAGTCTTATATGTATCTCCTGAGATATTAAAATAAGAAAATATGATGAGAAATGTGATATTTTTTCAATAGGAGTTATTTTATATATAATGCTTTGTGGTTATCCGCCTTTTGTTGGCTAAAGTGATGACGAAATATGTTAATCTATATTAAATGACAATTTAAAATTTAATAGTAAAATAAATTAATATATATTTTTTTAAAAAAACATAAAATAAATAATTAAAACAAAAAAGATGACGAATGGGCTAATATTAGCATTGAAGCTAAAGATCTGATATCTAAAATGCTTTAAAAAAATCCAGAAAATCGAATCAGTGCTTCTGAGTCTTTTTAACATAATTGGATTTAATAAAAATAATAAAATATATAAGTCAGTAAAAAAATTCTTTAAAACTTAATAAATTTTTAAGCTGTAAATAGAGTTAAAACTGCTATACTTAGTATTATTTCTCTCCATTTTCTTACACATTAATAAAAATAAGAAATTATTATAAATTTTAACCTTTTAGACTAAAATGGGGATGGTTAATTATCTAAATAAGAACTAATAAATGGTATTTAAATATTAGAAATATATTTGCCTAATTTTTATTATTATTTATAGGATATGAAAAATTATTAGGAGATAGATAATAAGCTTAAGAAATTGTTGAACATGTGTTTAAAGATGTTGATTATGATTATTCGGGTTTAATAAGCTTTTCAGAGTTTATGGTTGCGGCATTAAATAAAGAAAAAATGATATCGAAAGATATTTTATATAAAGCTTTTGAGTTTATTGATGAAGATTAAGTTGGATTTATTACTAAGTATTAATTAGAAAAAATACTTGGAGGATAATTAAAATAAGAAACTTGGGATTAAATCATTTTATAAGGAGATTCTAACAAAGATGGAAAAGTAATCTCTTTTTATATTTTATTTTATTTTATTTTAGATTGATAGGGATGAATTTGTGGAATTATTAATGTAATGGTTAAATAAAGATTTATATTAAGATTAAATAGAATAATAAAATTAAAAATTTATTTAGGGAACTAGCTTTTGTATATAAGAATAAGGTTAAAATAGCTTAAGTTAGTGTAATTCTTATTAAAAAGAAATATAGGTACTAACTTAAAAAAATATATAATCTTATAAAGAAAGCTTTATTTGAATATTTTATTAAATTTTTGGTTATTTAATGTATTTTTTTATCTATAATATCTTTGAAAATAAAAGCTATAATATTTAGAAAATTATTATATTATTATTTATTTCATTTAAACTTTTAAAAAAAAAATTAATTTATTTATATAATTAATATTTTAAAATTTAATAATTTTTAAAATAATAATTATGTAAAGTAAAGTATAAAAAAAATATAAATGAAATTAAAAAAAATAATTTATTATTGAATTCTATATATAAATATATATATATTAAAAATTTAATTGTATATTTAAATTAATAAAAATATATTTGAATATAAAATTATATGTATAAAAAAAAATCTTTTTTATAATAAATATAAATATTTTAATTTATTTTTTTATTAAAATATATCAAAAAAAATTAATATATAAAAAGTATATATTAAATATATTTATAAATATAAATAAAAAAATATATGTATATAAATATAAAAGTAAATAATATATATATATTTATATATATATATATATATATAATTATGATATTTAATAATATCATATTTATTTAATAAAAACAACTTATTTTTATTTTCATTTAAATAAAAAAACACATAAACATTATTCCTTTTAAAATATAAATATATATGAATTTTTGGCTTCTCAAAGTTTATCAATATAATCATTAAGTTCTGGAATACCTTCCTTAAGTCCTTTTCTTTTTCTAATAGCTTAAACAATATCATAAGTTTTGGAAGTTTTTTCGAAAGGAGATCCAGTGACAATAGCCCAATGATCAAAGAAACATTAAGGGAAAGCTTAACCTTAAGTAAGTCCTCTTAAATGAGCTGTAAAACCAAAAGATTCAGCGACAGGTAAATAGCATTTAACCTATAAAAAAAATTAAAAATATTGATAAAAAAATAAAAAATATGTATTTATTTACAATATTCATAGGAGTTCCTTATACTTATTCTTCTTCATTAATAATACCTCTTCTTTAATTCAAGCAATTATAAACACCTCCCATAGCATCCATAGGGGCAGTAATTTCAGCAGTAAAGATAGGTTCCTATAATCTGGGTTCAGCAGTAAGTTCACAAGCGTAGAAAAGTCTTCTAGCAGTAGGTAAGATTTAACCTGCACCTCTATGAATATTATCAGCATGTAATACACAATCTAAAATATTCATTCTAACACCTCTCATACCTTCTTCTGTTAAAACAGCTTCTTTAGAAGCCCATTACCAGGCGGATTCGACTGAATCCTTAATTTCAGTGACATATTATATACCTTTAGTCATATCAACGACTACATTGGGGCCAGTATTTTCAGGACCAAAGGACCATAATTTAGCTCCTGCGTCTAATCTATCCCATCCGAAGTTTTCGTGGAGATATTTAGATCTTTCTTTAGGGTCATCTTTCGAGCTGACTTTTCCTTTTTCGATTTCTTCTGCAAGACCAGATTCAAGGGGTACACTTTTACCATAAAGTCTGTTATGTTTATTAGGTGATTTGGTCATACATTCTTATGAAGATTCAGCAGTGACAGTTTCCTTATAAGTAACAATAGGGTCAGATTTAATAATGGGACATTTAGCATAATCTTCTTCTAAATCCTTCAAACAAATTTCAATATGTAATTCTCCACAACCAGCAATAATATGTTATCCAGTTTCTTCAATAGAACAGACAACTAACGGATCTGATTTAGATAATTATTTTAAACCATCGACTAATTTAGGTAAATCTGCTGCGTTTTTGACTGAAACGGCTACTCTAACGACTGGAGAGACTGAATATTTCATAGTTCTGATAGTATGGGCATCTACATGGTCTGTAAGTGTGGCAGTTTTCATAATGAATTAATCTACACCGACTAAACCGCATGTGTTTCCACAGGGAACATCAGGGACATATTCAGTACATCTTCCTTACATAATAAGGGTTCTTTGGAGTGTTTTTTCGAATAAATCGTCTTTCTTTCCAACGACGAAGTTAGGTCCTAAAATTCTGACTTTTTAACCAGTTGCAATTGTTCCGGAGAAAACTCTACCAAAAGCCACGAATCTACCTTTGTCGGCAGTTGGCACCATTTTAGATACGTACATCATAAGAGGTCCTTTAGGGTCACAATCTCTCATTCCTTTGGCTATTTCATCGTCTTAGGGACCAGTGTATAGATATGAAGTTCTGTATTTTTGGGCCATTCTGGGGGAAGGTAAATGAATAATCATCATTTCTAATAAACAATCGGCTGCGGATAACCATTTAGACATAACGGCTTTAAGTAAATGTTTACCAGAGAGATCTTTATCGGCTTAAGTAAGAGTAAGTCCGAGAGTTTCGAGCATTTTATTCATGACTTCTTAGTTATTATCCATGACAGCGTTAGCTAATTTACAAATGGGGTCCATAATAAAGTTAACGAAGGCTCTTTTAATGGTTTTTCCGTTTTCGTCTTGGTTGTTGGATTTCCATTTTTTAGCAGGGGCATCAAAATAGTTGTCTCCCCATAATTTCTTCATCATTTTACCGAAGTCAATTTTGAATTTTTAAGAGTACAATCTTGCAAATTTAGTCAAAGTGAATGCCCATTATTCTTTTCCAGAACCAAAAGCAATGGCACCATCATCAGGATTTAAAATGAGATTTCCCATATCTTCTTGAGTGTATGTATCAATAATAACATTCACCATATCGATAACTCTAACGAAGTTTTAATACATAGTTTCTCCGTCATGTTTTAATTCCAAAATAGCTCTATCAATCTTATTTACGATTAATACAGGTTTAATCTTTTCTTACATAGCTTATCTGAGTACAGTTTCGGTTTATACACAAACTCCTTCAATACAATCGACGACGACTAAAGCACCATCAGTAACTCTCAAAGCGGCAGTAACTTCAGATGAAAAATCTACGTGTCCAGGAGAATCAATAAGATTGATTAAATAAGGT